CCCCCCCCCTCTCCCCGCCCTCTGGAGTCGTGCCAATCTCAGTTTAGTGCCCACTGTCGAGAGCAGGGGGAGGAAGGAGGGGAGGGGGAGGAAGTACAGCTAGACCTTCGAGAGGAGGGGGTAGCGGGATGACTGGGGAGGGAGGAAGATAGCGCGACGGTTGAAGGATGGGTTGAAAGCTGGCCGAGGGGAGGTTGTAGTGACGAAGGGAGAAGGGGAAGTGAAAAATCGCCATCCCCTTTCCCCCCTCCCCCCCGCCCCTCTTGTCCCTTCGCCCAGGATGCGACTATGAGCGGGAAGCTCAAATCTTGCTTTTGTTGGTTAGAAATTTTGTTTTATTATGATTGCAGTTGGTGCTGACCGGAGTAGCTGAACTGAATCCGATGATGGGGGTCAGTTTGTGTACGATACGTTATTTTGTTTTATTGCAAATTGGCACTAACATTTTCTTAGGGACTAATTTGCATTTGATTTACGGGGGGACTAAATCGCATTTAATTTGCTTAAACAGTTGTTACGTGCCGAATCATTAGCGTCTTTGTCAGCAGCTTTTTGCTGTTAAAAATTTTTTCTGTTTTGGCCTGTTGAAAAATTTTTTCTGTTTTGGCCACTACCTGCCTTGGAAAAAAAAAACGGAGGACTTGGGCAAGTTGACAACAATAAAATTAGTGATTACAATAATAAATCGAGCGCGGAGAAGTGACTGTTTCAGATATTTGGTCAAATGGTGACGGACGATGGTCACGGGCATACAGATGCGGCTTCTTCCGCTGCTGCTGGTGGAAATTTACCGAATCCGAATGAGCATCGCCATGAACCGGCTTCATCGTTTCGAATTATGCATGCCTCATCTCCTGGAGGCGCCGATGACGACAATATTGTATTGCTTTTTCTAAACCAGTTGTTATCAAATCTTTCTGCGCAAGGTGCACAAATACAGCTACAAATAAGCCGTGATCCAATCACCCAGACAAAGTAAGCTTTTCCTGCGTTACCTCTCTTAATTTCTTTTTAACTGTAAGTGCGGCTTTTAACAAAATTTTGCTTTATTTCTGTTGCTGTCGAGAATAATAGATCGTCTGGACGGTTAATGTGAGAATCTCATTCCATAATATTTCGGACGGGTGGAGGAGGAGGGGGGGGGGGGGGGGGGGGGGG